TTTATATCAGAAGTAAGGAAAACTGCTCTGTAAGCATGTCCCTCTTGGGAGATAAATGGAACAGCCATAGCTCACGTATATCATTATTTAGGTCTTCTTCGGCAAAAAACGTTCTATGGTTTTTCATTCTTTAGACGTGATCAGAGGACATATTGTTATAGAGTTAATGTAACCTTCCCTATTTTCAGAAGAGGGTTAACAATATCCAAACTTTCAAACATATATTGCTTTACGCTGCACCAGAGACCAAGTATGGGGAAAAAAACCAAAGATCTGACATATGGTTCCCAGTCCCTAAGGACATTTACAAGTCCCTAATGTGCAGCAGGAAATTACAAGTATCCCAAGAAATCTGAGTTTAGGAGCGATTACCTCCAGTTAAAACTGGAGATGGGTAGGGGGAGTAGAAGCAGTTAAGTGATGACTTCATAAAGGATATGCAAAGATAGGAAAGGGCAGGGAATCTTAGAGGAAAATAAGGATAGAAAAATGATAAGCCTCACACCATGTTTCAACTTCTTCAGAGCAGAGAGCACATGAAAAAAAGCTGTAGCTTTAGCTAAAGTAAAAATTCAAACAATAGGGCTTCCGTGGTGGCGCAAGGGATTAAGCACAGCACTGTGAAGCTATCTGCAGCCTCTGCAGATCCCCAGCTAGCCAGAGAGCTACCAACCTGTCTCAGCAGACCTCTCCTGTCTTGCCTGCTGTTCCCTCAGCCGTGTATTTCAGTAGATCTGCCTGTTCTGCTCCCCACTCTGTCTCTGGTGAAACCTCTCACACACCGCCATGCTCCCACCCCCACACCTCTGGCCTTACCCCAGTTCCTGTATGCATAAATAAATCAATCTTAAAATTCAGACAATAAGTGTAATAATTAATAATCAAATAGATTAAACCTGATATGCCAATAGTTTACCTCTGAAGTAAATCATTCAGTCTAGAAACAAGAAGTTTATGTACAAGGAAAATTTATAAATGGCAGTAAAAACACTGAAGTGATAGAATGTACCACATCACACACACACACACACACACACACACAAACACACCCATACAGAAAGAAGAAATTTTTGTTTGTCTGTTTCTTAATCATGTGGGGAAATTGTTAAACCACAGCTTCATCAGTTTTCAACTACCACAGATTCCTTTTAGGAATCAGTGTACTGATACAGGGTGATTCCCTGGCATTTTATTCTAAAACCCACAAATGCAATTATAATGTGACCAGCTGCAGCTCCCTTCCTGAACTTCAGAATCTGAGTGTCTACACACTTGCAGTTCTGTATAACTTTACACAAAAGACTGGCAATTGGCCAAGAAGCTGTTACCACGGTGAACATTCCCCAAGGTTCAAGATCTGCTATTTAATTCCAATTCGGTCATGAAACGACATGTACTCTAGCACACAATGCCAATATAAAACAAATTAAATTCAAATTCTAGTTAAGAAAGGTATTCCTCCAAAATTCAATATATAAAAACATTACAGTATATCATTTAAAGAGCCCTATGAATATAATTCCACTCCATTAAGATACTAAAATTTCCTCAAAGAATTTGTTTCTTCATAATCTTACCAATAGCAAGAAAACCCATTGCAAACTTACAACATACAAAGATTTAATTGTATTTCCAAGCTTCCCAATTAAGCATTTCATGCACATTGCTAACAAAAATCAAGAAGGCATGTTCTCAACAGCTGATACATTTATGACTATAAGATCAATAACTCAAGAATAACCTTAATTTCTTCTATCTAAAGAGATATACTTACAACCTTACAAAAACAGGAGTCTTTCAATTAGGTAGCTAGATCATTCTAGTATGAAAGTTTCTTGAGGGGGAGGGGGAAAAACTAATGAGAACACTTTAACAGCCTGGCTAATGCTTACTTTCTAAGAAGGAGGGTTTTATAACAGCAAGTAATAAATAAACTGAACACTAGCCCTTGTGTGAAACTCTTGGAAAGATTTTCATTTTTATTAAAATGTTCATCTGCCTCTAGCTTCCTTCTCTTCCAGACCTACATATCATTCTCACAAAGGATCACTGAAATAGTAGTGACAGAAATGAGTAAACCTTAAGATGTCTGATTCAAAAGCCACAATTTAATAATGTCAAATCTGTAACAATTTTAAAGAATTGGAAAGCCACTAACCATTTTTTCCTCCTTGTGACAGATATCTTTCTTCAGTACAATTAACAACAAAGGAAGATATAGGAAGGTGAGCACATAACCTCAGCAGAGTGTGAATCAAAAGTGGTATTTGAACTTTAAACCCCTCTCCCGGTCCAGTACTGCCTTCAAGTACAACATTCAAAGGCTGTAGGGCAGGAAAAAGTATCTCCAAACGGATCCTTTCAGTGGCTTAGGGTTTTTTTTCCCCCTTCAATGTCAAAAATCTTCTGAATTGAGAGTAAACTGAATAAAACAAGTAAATAATTACTTATAATTTCCTAGTCAAGGAAAGAAAATTATTTTACATTGATGTTCAAAATATTTTCTGGGCATACCAAATGGATACAGACTATTAAACATTACTTGTAACCTAAGTAATGTAGTTCTAAGTAGTCACAAAAATAGATACCTATTATTGTCATTTATATGAAATAGGCATTTCTTATATTACAAAAAGAAAACTAGGCCTCCAGTCTCCTGGTAAAGATGTGACACTTGAAGAAAAAAATAAAAAGGAAAGAAAGCAAGAGTGAAAGACAACACACAAAATGCTTGACATTTATTTGTAGAGAAGAGTAGAACTATGCTGGTAGAAGGGAAACTGCCAAAATTTTAAACAAAGAAGTTAAAATTTTTAAGATTATGTAACAAAATGTTAACTATATGGTAGAAACATGTTATAAAAAACGAGTTATTTTAAAATATTAAAACAAAACACTGGCTCCAGAAGCACAACAAAACACGCCATTCCTCAGAAGACCACTGATTCCACCCAGTTTTTGTACAAGGAGGAGAAAAAGTAGGAAGAGGAGTGTCCACAATGCACAAAGAAAACATGGGCCTAAAGATCATGAAAGTAAACAGTAAGCAGATCGCGAAGGCACGGCAGTACAATTCCCATGACAAGGTCGCTTGTCAGGTCTATCTCCAGGTCAAGTTCAGCATGTTTCAAGGCATCATGCCTCCCTGTTGCCATCCTCCAGTGCCTCCACCTCTGTGGCCAGCTTCCAGGAGTTGTCAGCCTATGTCTTCAGCTGGATTAAGTAGAGCACTATAAGCCTCAGACTCTACAGAAAATCCTGATTGGTATACAACACCAACTAAAGAACCAGATTTAACAACCAGCTCTTGGAACATGCAGAACAACCAACAAGATGCTCCTGAGTCTCATATTTGACCACAGAGCCACTGTGTTTATGAGACTGGGCTGTGACAACACACACCAATAAGCTGCTTTCTCCTTGGTGTTTGGTTCCCTAGCCTCCCACCCCCATCTCATGCTTAGTGTGGCTGGGAGTATGTTTGTTTTGTGCAAGTTTCTGATTATTATATTGAACATAAAACTTGAACCTACCCAGGGCCTCCCTGGTGAGGCAAGGGGTGAAGTCTCAACATTGTGAAGCTATCCGCCAACCAGGGAGGTAACCCACATGGCGCAGCAGACCTCTCCTGTCTTGCCCACTGTTCCCCTCAGCATTGAATTTTCAGTAGATCCGCCTGTTTTGCTCCCCACTCTGTCTCTGGTGAATCCCTCTCATCCCCCACACCTGTGGCCCACATCCCAGGTCTTGTATGCATAAATAACCTTTTTAAAAAAAATACTTGAACCTACCCAGATTTCTCTCCCTTCCCATATATGAGACTGTGGGAGCGATGAGTGTCTGTTCTGCACACCCCAAAGAACGCTTGGTCTCTCCCCTTTTTCTAAGCCTTAGATTTCTGCTCATAATCTACTCATATTTGGGAACTGATCTCCTCATTTCAGTCTCTTAGGCAACATTTAGCCCAAGTCTGAACATTTTGATAGTAGTTGGATGGAAGGAACAGAGTAAAAGGAAATTCTCCCACAGCCCTAAGCATGAAAGACCACCTGGGTCCTAGGTTAGGGCTGTCTGGACAGCCCAAGATGAGGAAAGGACTTTATGGCCAGCTTAAGACATGGCTGCCAGGTTCTTGCCCTGGTCTCCTACTCCACCACCTGTGCTCCCTTCCCTGCTCTGGCTAGGAGAGGGAAGCAATTTTCCTACTTACTGCTGCCCTTTCTGTCCCCCTAGGCAATAACATTGTAAAGTCAAGTGTGAAAGAGAACTATATAATAAAGTTTACTATTCTTCTAAATACCAACAACGCAACTGCTAAGGTTACAATCTTAGAAAATTAACTGGGCCTCAAAATTACTCCCAGCCTCCTGTCAAGAGATGGTAGTACCATCTCTCAGGGCTACCTGCATTTCTCCCAGGTCTTAGGTATATGATGAAGGGATAAAGAAGGTACTCTAAGGGCCTTTTTGTGGTAGAGACCAAAAAAGTCCTGGGTGAGGCCTCGGAGTACCTGAAGGCTGAATAGATTAGCCTCTCTCTATCCTTGTTCCCCAAGCTCCTTTCTGCCTTCCTCTGAATTGGTAAATGGGAGGTTTAACTACCCAGAGGAAATTAAGTATTTTGTATCCCATTATATTACAACAAATACTGTCAAATGCTTCTTAAAAAATTTAAAAAACATAATAAAAATAGATACTTTTCATTTCATTAAAGCTTATTGGAATGGACAAGGAAAAGGGGGTAGGAAAAGGGGGTAGGAAAGAAGAGGCCTAGAAGTTGAAAGGAACAATATAAAATAAAATCCGAATGAATAAGGACAGGCATTTCTTATGGTTCCAATTCCCTATGACCCCTAACAGAACTAAAAGGAAGTAAAGGTAGAGGTAATTGACTTAGATTTGGGGGGGACAGGGGAAAGGGCCTCACAAGGCGAAAGCAAGAAGAAAATGAGAAAATATACATATAGTAAGGAATGTAATTTCCAGAAAATATGAACTTACCAGAATGTACTGTAGCTACTACAATCCATACAAACTGTGTGCTGAGCTTTATCCTGCTTTTCTGATTTCTTATGGTTGGTTAAGGGTATTTGTGCATCTTCATAATGTTTTTTTGCATGGCCATTCACATACCTTAACAAAAAAGAAAATTTATTTTAATCTATCTCTTTGGAAGTTAAAGTAGATGATAAAATTAGATGTTTAATCAAATCAGAATGAAAAAGAATTCTTACTTTATAAGAGCATTCAATCATTTAGTGATTTATTAAGCTGAATACTTAAAATATGCTTCTTTTTTTGCAATCAAATATGACAGTCAAGTTTTAATTATATATAAGCCTAGAAGCAGGCAAGAAAAGGCATTATCTATGCAAATCAGCTTCACTACCACTGATATTATCATGCTTTTGCTACAGTTTTCTTTCTTTCTTTCTTTAAGCTCTTCTCAGCCTGTTAACCCCCAACCCAAGCCATTAAACACAAGCTTTGTAAACTAAATTACTCAACCACTTCCTACAGTACCATGGGTTCTGCCTGGGTTGCTGCTTAATGTAAAACATGAGAGTAGATATGGAAAAACAGGATCCTCTATCTCTTCCTCACAATATAGCCATAGCTTTAGATTTTTATTTGATTTTTTATTTGACAAGCTCCACTCATAAGGAAACACGTTTGTTTAGAAGTGATCCAAGCAAAATAGAAATCATCTTCAGCATATATAAATTGTTATTTCTCTACATGAATAAAGACAATCAAAGGCTGACTGTATATTCACAAATACTTTGTAACACGTTCCAACTCAGATTTAGTAAATCATTGTATTAGGGAGAGGAAAATGAAACTGAAATAAGGGTTCATATGTACATGTATGCACCCAAAATCAACTATACCTTCACAATGTTGTAACTGACCACTACTGTGAAGACCCTTATAGAAGAGCTCCTAGAAAGCAGTCAACTGGTAGAAGGCAACACTGAATTGAAAACCAAGAGTATTCAAAACAAATGTTGGTTACATGGTACCAACTAAACATGCTCAGAGAGTATACATGGTTTTCGTCTGTACCAGTGGCAACACTTACCTTGGCAAAGTAGGAAAGTTGTGGTAAGTAGGGAGGATCAACATCAAGCCCAGTCTCCATATCCTAGGGAATTTGGAAGCACTTGAGGCACTACTAACCTCAACTCAGAATCTGATCGTGTATCCCCTCCCCCATTTTTTCAGTGTAGTAAACATAGCAAGATTTGCATGTACATGGTCCACAAAAGGGAGTGAAATAAATTTTAAATTAAAATAATTAGAATATAAGCTCAAAAGTAGATTGCCCAGGTTCAAAAGTCGACTTTGTCACTAGACATGTGAGCTTTGGTGAGTTAAGTTCTCTATTCTTGTTTTCTTATCTGTAAAATGGAGATAATAGTACTATACCTTATGGGTTGTTGGGTGATTGAATTAAATAAATAATCCATGGTTCAGGTTGCATGAATAAATGAATGCATGCTAGCAATTATTTTTTCATTATATGTTTAACAACCATTTATTCAGATTCCAAACATCATAATTCCTTAGAAAGTTGTCATATTAAGCACATACTTCAAGATAACACATTGCATAGGTGAAGAAACAACTAATATTCCATTGATAAAGTAATTTCAAGACATTACATAGATTCAATATCTAGTTCAATTTCCACATTTACATACACATAATGTGCCTTGGAAAGCAACAGTATGCTTATAATGAGTTCAGGATTAAAGAAAAAGCAATACTGTCTCTGGTCAATCCTCTTACCCCCACACCTCTGGCCTGTACCCCAGGCCATACATAAATAAATAAACCCCATGCATAAATCTTTTAAAAAAAATACTGAACAATAAAGCCATTACCATTTTCAAGTCTTTGAAAACTGATCATTTGTACGTAGTACATACAGTTCATTTAGTTACCACACTATAGTCTCCAAACGCACTGGCTATTTAAGTAGTTACTGTAAATGCCAGTGATAAAGTAAGAAATATACTATAGCTGACGTTAAGATTAGCAATGTTTTGTCTAATGATTTCAATACATAAGTCAGAAGCTAACAGTTATATATAAAACTGTATAATACAGTTATAGGTAACATGTAAATAGGTATTTCTCTCATCTAGTTTTAGATTTTAACTAGACAATTTGACCTAAAAAGAAAAAGTGTTAATATGTATGTCACAGATTTCTAACAATAATCACAAATTTTAAAAAAAATTTTAAATGGGATAGTGTCATGAAGACCAATAGAATATTTAACTAGAAGATGACAATGACTGATAAATTATGTTTCCTGGTTGAAAGAAAATTCCACTCAAGACTTCTCAGCAGGTAAGTGATCTAAAATTACTGAAAAATCAGAATACTTGGCTATCAATACCCAGGATTACAAAATAAAGAAAAATTAACCAATCAGTTACATAAAATGAAAATCTAAATGCAGGCTACTCTCATTATCTATTTAATCTGTTTAATCATATTCCTCTGAAACTATATCAAATTTCTAAATTTAGTATTGCTTACCATAGAAAATAGATTGCCGGCAGCATCTAGAAATTTTTCAATTTATTTTTCCAAAAACTAAAGAATTGTTTGTTGCTCAGTATTAAGAACATTATTCTCTCTAATTTTTGAGAGTTTGTCAGGTCTTTTTGTTAACCTATGACCTTTAAGACTTAGGTTGTAGAGCACTATGAGACAAATGGAGAAAAGAACTATACAAATTTTATTGCATTATAATTCTCACCTCTCAAACTCTAGGAGAGGAATCTGTCTCTTCAAATGCCGAATTTAAGTGCTTCTACTTTTCTTCTTTTAAAAAAAATTGTTATCTGTACAAAGTATTTTCAGGTTCCCCAAATCCTAGAGATTTCAAAACCACAACAGCCACAATTAAGATAAGCAGTTAACATTTTCCAAAGGTACTCAAGTGTACATGGAAAAAATACTCAATTCTAGGACTCAAAATGTGAAAAATCAAAAATTAACGAACAAAGATGCTCTCTTCATGCAATTAGGTTTAAAAACAACAATGGGGAAGTAGTTCTAATAAATACAATGTAGATTTCAGCATGTGTGAATCAGTATGATTTCCTAGCTCTTTGCTGCTAAGCTATTAACGTCTGAAGTAAATTCAACATGGATTTTCTGTTAAAAGAGCAATAGAAATAAATGTGCTATTATTACCTTAGTTAAAAAAAAAAACAACCGGGCCTCCCCTGGTGGCGCAGCGGTTGAGGGCTGGGCTGTGAAGCTGCCCCCACAGCCTCTACAGCACCGGTTAGATCCACATGGCGCACAGACCTCTCCTGCCGCCCGCTACTGCCCGCTACTCCCCTCTACTCCCCTCAGCAGTGTTTCGTCGGTCTGCCTATTTTGTTCCCGCTCTGTCTCTGGTGAATCCTCTCACCCTCCTGCACTCCTGACTGTACTCAGTGCTTGTATAAATAAATAAATAAATCTTAAAAAAAAAAAAAAAACCAACCCACAAAGGTTGATATTTGAGTTTGTGTTAGAAGAGTTACTATTTAAGTAACATCATTTTGGTGTTTTCTTTTTTAACTTTTTTTTTACATCATTCTTCATTTTTATGCAATGTATGTTTTATCATCTCAAGTATAGTCCCCGTGGAATTCCCACCACCAGTTTACCCATGTACCATCACCATAGTCCCTTGTGCTCTTCCCATCCCTGTTTTGATCAACTCCCTTCTTCCCCTCTGCAGAATGTCTCTGGTTTATAGTTTGAATCCAAGAACTGGGAGGAAACAGATTTGAGTTGGGATGGTGGTGGAGGTGGGAGGTGGGGTAGTCAAGTCCCTTGAAAGCAAAAAATGTCTTAATGGGACAAGGAAACATTTGATACTACTTAGACAGCAATTAATAAAGAACTCCACAATGGGCCTACTTTCAAGGGAATTTCTTTACCAGTCCATATTTTAGTAACTTTGTCTTGTTTTCAGAAGAATGATGTGTTATCTGGGATTTGAGTCATGCCAGTAAAGGTATGGATAGCATAGGTAACATGTATAACAAGAATGGCCATGTATTGATAACTGTTGAAGCTGGGTGATATAAATATGTAGTTCAATTATGTTCTCTAATTTTGTGTATACTTAAATTTAAACCTTATGAAGGATTAAAAAAATCCATAAAGAATACTTTCATTTTAAGATTACAAATTTCCTTTATTTCATCTTTTCAATCAAATATTACTTGTCGATCATTAAAAGTCTGAATGTCAACACAAAGAATTTTGACCCCTATATTTTTCTCAATTTTACCACTGAATAAAGGCTTTCTGAGAGGGAAATTCTACAAAGACTGGGACTATACAGTATGGTAAGCAATGGTGCTAAATAAATCCAAACCAATAAAACTGTAACATAAAGCTTAAAAGCAAATTGAAAAAAGTAAGTAGGGTAATGATGTAATAAATATATTACCTACCTTCCACAGTGGACACTTGAACAAGTCAAACAGACCCAGGGGCTTTTGTTGGACCGGCACACTAATAAAAAGAAAAATAGACAGTATACCAATTGTATCATGTTATATCCTATTTTCTCCCTTAATCTGTAATCTATATGCTTTGATTAAGTTATAAATGCCATGGCTGCTTAGGTGTGCTGAAATCACAAATCACTACTTTGTGAGTGCATTTACACAAAATGGCTCCCTAACTGAAGTTATATTGAAAACAATTTAAACGCATGTCCACAACAGAGGCTCATTTTAATTGTGGAGTTAACTCAAATAGTTTAACCACAAGTTAAACACACATACATTTTTCTCCTCTATAACCTTACTTTTTACCATAGTCTCTGAGTCTATTTTATCATTAAAAATTTTTAAGTTTAATTTTTTAATCACATGTGTTTGCCATGCAGATCACATATTACAAATATGACAACTGTTTCAGTTTATTTAATGAGAGGCATAACCTAAGGAAACAATAAGACACCAAGCCCACTTTTTCCCAAATTAATTTATTAGTTGTATAAAACATAATTAGTTGTATGACAAATGCATACAATTTTTGTTGAGGGTGTAAGCAGGACATTAGTTATTTTATATTAAGTATTATAGGGGCAGGAAGGCCAGGACGGTCCGGAAAAATTTTAAATATTGATTATAATTTTGCTTGCTACCCACTCATTTGAATAAAAAAAAAAGCCCATTAAACACAACAATGATTTCTAAAAGGGAAGTGATTGAAAGTAGTCAACTCGAAAGCTTTCAAAACACTTAAACTTTGCTCAGACATATCTGCATTAGGGTAGAGCTATAAGGACAAAGAACATGTGTTTTGAGAAAAGTAGCTTCACAGGTACTCCCTAATACACCCCCTGAAGAACTACTAGTCAGCTTCCAAGTAGCATGGGATGGACACCAAAGAACCAACATACACTCAGAATGGTAATAAATCTGCTCCCTGGCACATAGTAGGTGCTCAATAAGCCTTTATTAAAGGAAAGTTTAATTTTCTTAGTATACAGTACAAAGTTCTTCCAAGATCTGGTCCTTGCTCTAATATTCAAAGGAACTTACTCTTAAGAAAAATTCACCGAAAACTGGAAATAAGTTGAATCAAGAACTGTAAATCCTTCCTATGTATCATGAAACCCTGCTTATTAAGTCCTTCCATAATATTCAATTATACTGCCATTGTTTCACCAGCTGCTCACTACTTATTAGGAACCAAATTCATGAATTTGTAAGTTTTTATTTGGTAGAGATCATTTCTATTCAGCAAACACAGGTTATAATTTTTACTATCCTATATGATATTGACCAATTTCATATCTAGTCTAGCAATTTATTTCAATGTTCTTTCTTCAGTGTCTACCTATACTCAATTAATTTCTCAAATGCTCTTGGAATCAGCTTCACTATCCTGCTGGTTCCCTCATTAAAGAGCTGAAAAATTATTTGACATATGTTCATTCTATATTTGTATCAGAGCGGAGGTGACAGAAGAATTGGAGATCAATGATATGCTGCCCAGCACAGGTGTCCAACTACTTTTGAATGTGAAAGCTCTGAATGGTAAAAAATCCCTTCCCAGTTAGCCAAGGGCCCTACCTTTCCTTGATGCATTCATATATTGACATTAACTGCCAAGGTCATCCTGAAGGCATTTGAGGTTTTTACTGTAAGACAGAAAGGACAGGACAGGAAAGAATACCTGCTAGCCTGTTACCAGCAATTATTTTAGGTAGGTACATAAGGGGAGAATGTTGACTGTATTTGTACACCCCTGTAGTGTTTGAGTTATCACAAGAATATGATGTTTTGGGGCCTCCCTAGTGGCACAAAGGGTTAAGTCACAGCACTATGAAGCTATTCCAAACCACCGCAGCATGGCACGAGTTTGATCCCCAGCCAGCCAGGGAGCTACCCACATGGCACAGAAGACCTCTTCTTTCTTGCCCGCTGCTCCCCTCAGCAGTGTATTTCAGTAGATCCGCCTGTTATGCTCCCCACTCTGTCTCTGATGAATCCTGCACCTCTAGCCTGCATCCCAGTTCTTGTATGCATAAATAAATAAAATAAATCTTTAAAAAAAAATTCAGTAAGGTGAGGATTCAATGACTAGGATTCTAGTCCCAGCACTACCATCCACTATTAAAATTGAGAAAATTACTAATATTCTGGGTCTATTTCTCATTGCAAAATGAAGACAAAGTGATCAGCATGTCCTTTTTAATTATAAAATTACTGAAAGAACATGAAAGGACCAAAAAAAAAAAAAAATGAAGCAATCATGTCATCCTCTACAGACAAATTCTTCCAATTCCACTCTCTCTTAATTTTCTTAAAGACTTAAGAAAAAGATTAATTGCTAATATAATTTTCTAAACAAATTGTTTTCAGCTTTTTTAGGGTGGGCTACTTCCTACCACCTCTGAGGGGCAAATATATTCATACCACTTCACCCATCAGCAACAGCAACTTACTGCAACAGCATGGAGCAAAGTGTGTGGAATCACTGTTCAAAAGTATTATAGACAAACATGCTGCCACAACAGTAAAACTCAGAACATACCTGACATCACACACATAATTTTTAAAGTGTCACACTCTCAAAAATAGTTGCGACCCATAAGAAAACACTCAATGTTTCTTAAAAGCAAGTTCATTTTTGTCTAGTTAGTACATACCTAGTAAATACTATGTGCCTAACACTATTGAAACCACTTTATGAATATCACCTATTTAACCAATCCAATGAAATACATACTATTATTTGACCTGCTTTGTAGATAAGGAAATTTAGGCACAAAGAAGCTATGTAACTTGTTAATAACAGTAAGCAACAGAACTAGAAACTCAAACTCAGACAGCCTTTAAAAGCATGGACTGTTGCAAAACAGGAGGTACAGAGAATGTCATTTTTTGTTGTAAAAAGATTCCATACAGTATGTTTCTGCATATATATTATATACCTGTACATTTATTTTTTTAAGTTTGGAAGAGTATACAGTAACTGCTAACAGTTACATAAAAGGAATGGGGTGGGGGACTGAAACCATATGGACCTACTTTCAGTTTCAACTATTATGCAAATTTTTTCAGAGAGCATTACTTCTTTTATAATAAAAATAAAATTTAAGTGCTTTAAACTTAAAAATACTAGTATTATACAGTTGCATTAATAAAATGGACTTAATCGGGCCTCCCTGGTGGCGCAAAGGATTAAGGTAACCTATGTAGCTATCCACAGTAGTCAGGAAGCCTGTCCCACATGGAGCAGCAGACCTCTCCTGACTCTCCCACTGCTCCCCTCAGCAGTGTATTTCAGTCGACCCACCTGTTCTGTTCCCCACTCTGACTCTGGTGAATCCTCTCACCCCCACACCTCTGGCCTGTGCCCCAGTTCTTGTATGCATAAATAAATAAATCTTTAAAAAAAAATAAAATGGACTAACTCAAAATTATTAAATGTGAATGGTATGACAGACCAAAATCTAAAACTCTAGATTTATAATATGATCAATGAAAACAATTTTGCAGCTGCTATTCAAAACACATGCACGCCATTAAAGTATCAATAGTAAAAGTGTCATTCCTCTTGAAATGGAAGGATAGGGCTGCCCTATAATAAAAATGCTATGTACATATATAGTTCAATACATATAAGTAGAAATATATTCCAGTACATATAAGTAGAGATATTTCAGGACTAACCCAACTTGCCTTCCGATATATTTTTAGATGTTTAAGAGCAAGGCATATAATATTCTGTATATCATAAATGTTCATCATACCATATGCTCACAAGCCTATTCTACGTTAAAAGCTCTGAAGTCGCCTACCTTCAACTTGAATTCTTTGAAATTACCAGGGGAAGGAGTCACATAAGAATAGGAACTAAGCCTTAACGCACTCCAGAAAAGAAGAAATCTGCCAACGATAACAAAGCAACTTGAGAGCAGCCAAAATCACAGTCCATTGCCCGTTCCTCCACCCCAATGCTATGCCTTCCGGGAGCAGGCACTGGGCTCTAAGGGAAAAGGGAAACAGAAGAGTTCTCTTAAAAAGCAGCAAAAGATGCCAGGACCAAAGAAGTACCCCCAAGATAGAATTTGGGAGACTAAACACAGATCCAAATATCCAAATACTGAGGAGGAAAAGGAGGAGGAGGAGGCCAAGCACAAGCACAAATAATTGCTAGCATGCATTCACAAGCTCACAGGTGACAACCCAGAACTCAAGGTCAAGATCACAGAACAGAGGATTTGGGGTTAAGGCAGGGAAGACAATTATGAAGCAGTTTATCTTTGATTGCACTTCCACTCTCTCCCATGAGAATATTTCCCACCTTTCTCCCCTGGCAGTTCTTTGCTGCCTCAGACCCATTTTTGTTCAAGGCTAGCAATCAATTAATCTCTCCTGAACTATTACATAAGTAAATTGTTTTCTGGTCAAGTCGCAGTTCAGTTTTTCTCATTGCCACAGTCTCCTTTCTGTTTAATGGTAGTGTGGATAACCACAAATTTTTTGACACTCCTCCCACTGAGAGGTGGGTCTATGACACCATGGGGCTGAAGATATCTGGAGACAGAGAATGAGACCAAGGAACACAGATATCAGATATGTGAGTTAAGAAACCATTTTGGAAGAGGATGTCCCAGCCCCAGGACTCCAGCTGACAAAACGCTATACAAGTTAATTTTTAATTCCCTACCCCACAAATCATAAGCAAAATAAAATGGTAATTTTCCATCACTAAAATATAGGATGGTTTGTTCTTATGAAGCCAAACAACTCACCAGAATGTCAGACACTGATGGTTAGCCCAACTGAGGATGGAAATCTTCAAGAGGTTCTACCCAGTAGGAATCAAAACTATCTAAAGTCTTTACCATCCCCTCTGTAATAAAGGTGGTAAGAAAGTGAAGACATGACAATCTATCCTCAACCAACCTGCCAGCATCCTTGGGACTGGCTCTTTCTAGATCCCATTAATATTTTAATAACTCAAATCCAGCTGTGCTATTTCTAGCC